AATGAGTAAAGAATCTGGACCCTCAGGGGAGATTTGCATTCATTTTATAGAGAGGTCTACGGGTTACCTATCCTGTCTTTAGTGTATGTTGTGTGTAATATTCTCGCACACAAAGAACAAACAGTACTTCTGTAAAAATAACTTAGCTCAAGTTGAGATAACAACAAAAAAGGAAAAAATAAAAGTTAGATATCCACAAGAGAGATATTGTTTGTGTGTCTTCACTGATAAGCTAATTAAATTGGAATCAAAATTGCTAGTTTCCACCACATTTTAGAAAATCTAAACTGTAGCAACACAAGAAATAAGTGTCTCAGTTCAGAGTTAAAAATTGCATTCCGATTAGGTTTTTTCCACAGCTTCAGGACTTTAAAGAAAGGGTCTTTATTTACCACTTGCCTTGTGACAGTAGGTAACCCGTAGAGCTCTCTATAAAATTGGCACCGATATGTGCCATCTGACCACCTTCATCAGCAAATAAGCACTACCTCTCTTCATTTCTGGGCCTTGAAGTATCTGAGTAATCAGCTTCATTATTTAAAGGAAATAATTTTTCACTCATCAGGTGCAGACTATGGAACAGCAATTACATCCAGTTTGGTACTGTTAAATTTTAGCACTCTGATTACTGGACAATACCTATTCATTATATGTTCTCATTTAAAAAAAATAAAGTTCCTTTTTATTCAAAGAACTGTAAATGTTAAACTAGGGTACCAGTAGTTATCATGTATTAGCTATTAATAGCCATAATTACTAATAATAAACATTTTTTGTTGTTTTTTTTCAGGGCCTACTTGAGGATCCTTGCCTTTTTAATTAGTTATTTGTTTGTAATTTTACATACTTTTGAGTATATGACAGCCATTATTTCTTTAATGCTAAACTATTTGTGGATAAAAAGAAGCCATTCGAATCCATTAAAATTTAGATATATGAAGAACTAAAATTTTTCTGGTTACAGTGATCATTTATCCTTTAGTTTAAAACGAGAACATATAGAAAATAATGTTTCTAAGCATCTTAGTTTTCAGACAACCTTCATTATTGTGAAAATGAATTTTACCCTTAACTGAAGTAGTGAAATGAAGCTGAGATGTCAAATGCTTGTCCTCTTATGCAGTTGCTGAATAGTGGACCATTAAACTTTCAGAATATTTCAACCATGACAGGAGAGCATGAACCTCTAACTGGCAAAAGGTGCCGTTCATAAATGGTGGTCAAGTCAACACTTTCCTTTTTGAAGGGAATTCTAGGAGGTAAATATATAATTAATATATAGTCTTGATTCTGCTCTAAAAGATTAATTCACTGTAGTGAGCAGTGGGAAACCTTACGGGAAGTTCGAAAATGCTGAAAAAAATCTGGTAGTACTGAAGGGAAAAATCTCTTTGGCCGGAACAGAAGGTCTACCTTTGAGTAAAAGCAAGAACTTTTCACCAGTTTCTGGGCCACAGACTTAGCTCTCACCTTCTTCCTATTCCTTCCTGTGGCTCTTGAGCCAGATCTGCTAGCAATGAGGATTGCGAAAAGCTGTGCAAGTATTTTAAGAAGTAAAACTTATTACTGGTTTACCTGCTAGTTTTGTTATGTGCCCAGTTATATCAGTCTTTAATAACACAGAAAAAAATACACTTTCCTATTTCTGTCAAAGCACTTGATACATTTTAATGTATTGAATCCTTAAATATCCTAAAGCATAGGTTAATAACATTCCTGTTTTAAAGTCGGAAAACACAGAAATACACAACCTAATATCAGCACTTTTCAAGTGTCTACAGACAGTTAAGTCTCTCTTACAAAAATTTAAGTATACAAAATCAGTGAAGTTTTTTGGCAGTGAAGGTCATACTGAGTTGGTAGACCTGCAGTGCATAACTGCGGCAGCACCAGGGAAAGAAGAGGCCCACATCTTTGTCCTGTCTTTTCTCTAAAGTGATTATAGGTCGTACAAAAGTTATGAAGATGTTAATAAATTAGCAGCTGAACAATCGTATCAGCACTGAACATAGAAAAAAATGTATTTACTCTCAATTATTTCATTTTTACTCATAATAAACCAATGCATTATCAAGGCTAAACCTGAAACTAACTGTAGCTTTAAATGGACAGTTACCTGGCAGCAGAGAAGGCTTTAAAGAAAAGAGTTTCTTTGTTTTTCTGGCTATGTTTTGACTGTAAATAGAACAAGCCAAGAAGTGTGCTTCAACTTATGGGCTTGTCCATTCCTGTACCCAGATAAGTAAAAGGCCTTTGCTTTTTTGGCAAAACTCTTAAGCTTACAAGAACACACTTACCCCTTTGCCTGGCCCAATCTCCATCATGCTTTAGAGTGCTTCTATTTTAGTTTGTTTTCTTGTCCTAGAAAGACTGAAACTAACCCTAAAACATACAGCTGATCTTCTTGTCGTAACTAGAATAGAAGTGAACAGAAAATAGAAAAGAATAGAACAGAAAAAAAAGAACAGAACAGAAAAAAGAACAGACTAGAACAGAAAGGAGAAGGAAAGGGAAAGGTAAAAAAAATGAAAGGGAAATGAAAAGGGAAAGAAGGGAAAGGGAGGAGAAGGAGATAGAGGGAGAGGGAATAGGAGAGGAAAGGGAAAAGAAGGGAAGGCAAGGAAAGGGAAGGAGGAAGGAGAAAGGGAAGGGAAAAAAGGGAAAAGGGGAAAGGAAAAAGGGAAGAAGAGGAGGCAAGGTGAGAGGGGAAAAGGAGAAAAAGGAGAAAGAGAAGGAGAAGAAGGAGAGGGATTGGCTGCATGTATGTCATCCATCATTAGCCAGGGAAGACCACAATGCAGACACAGGGAGTCTGTCATCTATGACTTTCCAGCATTGCTGTGACACATGTCCACCACAGTCACCTATTGCTGTGGGGAAGCAGGGCCCTGCAGCGCTGTCCTGTGCAGGGGGTGACGTGCTGGGGCACCTCCACAGCCTGCACTGCTGCCTCCACCCATGGCTCATGAAGGTGGTGCAGACCCTAGTCTGATCAGCACTGATGGCAATTAGGTTGTGCTCTGTCAAAACAGGCAGCTTATCTCCTGAATCCTAATCATGCCCCATTTCCTGTTTCCTTGTTTTTATCCCTGTAGGATTTTTCATCCTCTGGAACCAACAAAGAGATCATATTTTGCTTCAGTTTCTGAAGCCTCCTAATTTTTTCCAGACTTTCCATTTCACGCTGTTTGAATTTTATTAAGATCTCTTTACACAAAAGCAGAGCACCAGCTATATGATGCCCTGAGGGATCTGAAAAGCTGTTGCTGTAATGTTGCAAAACTCTGGAGACATTTTATTTCTACCAGAAGCTCTTTGGAGGACTGTGGCAAAGGATATAAAGTGTCTTAAATATTCACAGCAGGGATATTGATCTCTGTTGGAATTTAATAAAAAAGTTGGGTTTTTTTTAATCTATTAATCAGCACATCACATTAATACTGATCAAATAATTCCTGTATCCAAAATACATTGTATTTTCTTTACATCTTTGGATGGAGAATACTATTTTCATTCCAGAATTATGGATAATCTCCGCATGGATAATATTATGAATCATCTATTCTTAAGACTATGACTTTCTTTTCTACACCCTCATTACTAAGTATTTTCACCAGGTAGTTTCCAGAAGCACCTCTGTTTTATCTGTTTCTGCCTCCAGTACTTTCTGTTCTTCTCAAACATAGCTATGCATAAATTCTTTATAGGAGTCTCACAAAAGCATGTCTCCTCCAATGACAGACAAAGATTTTGTAAGTGTTAATAAGGTTTTACTTTCAGTGGTCAGCCTTGAAGTCAAAAGCAACTGCTGAGCTCAGTACTCTCTTCTGTAGCACAATAGTCCTGTTCAACTGAGTTTTGAAATAAAATTTTGTGGGAAGCTGTATTCTAATTTGACAAGAAGATGTCTCATGAAAAACATTCTTCTATTTTCAAGAAGCTGTAATATAGTAGTGTGTGCATGTAACATAGCCAGAGACATATTCATATGATTATTTAATTAAAATATCATAGAACTATATGTTCATTTGATGGGAAAACATTTTTAAAATTCAATATATGAATAATCATATAAAATCTTGGCTGTAAACTGTAAAGATATTGGTATTTAAAAACCTGTTAGAATGTTAGGCTACTCAGGACACATTTTTCTAAAACACTCAGCAATTTGCCTCCTGATTTCTGTGTGAAGGTCATTCAATGACCTAACATTGTTGTCTCTTCCCATTTGCTGTATTTGCCAGCCCTCTTTGTCATTGCATTACCATGTACCACTTTTCTTCCTCAGAATAATGCTACAGTGATATCACAGATAAGGGTAACAGCAGTTGTTCTTTCAAAAGAAGAAATTAAAATTTTTTTTCTGTTTTTTTTTTTTGTTCACTATTTAATCTTCTTTTACTATAGAAATACTCTTCCTATTGTCAAATAGACTGAATGGCTTTTGTGTCAAGGTAGCTTCAGACACTGCCTCACATAACTGCACTAACAGAGACAGTTATAATTTAACCCTCTTAATGTTGTCTTTCATTACTTAAAATATCTTTCATAATCACTTCTTTGTAGTGATTAACCATAGCATTTCTAATTGGTCAGTGTTCTCTTCAAACGTCAGCTTTTCAAAGTCCTGATGTGCTTTGCACTTCTGGCTTGAATTAGTTTAGAGAATAAAATCTTGCTCCCTCTTACCTGTGCAGACATTTTAAACAATGCTGGAAATAGCTGGCTGTATTCAAGTTTTTATTCTATGCTAAAACTTATTTCTCACTACCCAGATGATGACTAAAACTGAATTTAAAGGTTATGTTCATGAAGTTCAGCACATCTGTTGTAATATGTCTCTCTTCAATGGTAAAAATAACTGCAGATGCTCAGAATTCCAGAGTTTAACTACTAAAGCTGGAATTTCCTACTGCAAGGTGTGCATTTTTGTAATAGCTAGATAAAAATTGCATAATGCTCATTTTTTTGTTTTCCATTCTGCTTAAATCTCACTGCAGGATGTGTGACACAGGAGAAGGGCTGTTCACCTTTCAGACACGAGAAGGGGAAATGATATATCAGAAAGTCCATTCTGCAACACTGGCAATAGCGGAGCAACATGAAAGAATAATGATGGAGATGGAGCAGAAGGCAAGGGTAAGGGCCTTTCACTGATATCTTTGCACTTATTAAAAAAGTTTAAACTTTATTGAAAAAATGGTAATGAACAAAAGAAGTATGGAGTAATGACATTCCATATTCTCACCTGTAATGATGGTATTAGCTGTGTACAAAGACAAAAGAGATTTGTAATTAATGCGTTTTCATGGTTGGGGATTTTCAGTATGTAGGATATAATGATTGTTGTTGCTGTGGTTTTGGTCCAGTGAGTACCATAAGCTATGCAGAAGCTGTGGGTGGTGTAAGAGAAGCTGAAAAATCTGTTGATTTTATACTTCAACTAGTAAGCTAATGGTGTTTGGTTTTGAAATTTACTTCATTTATGGAGGTCTCTGGACACAAAAATTCGGTTTCAGAATGTTAAGTGATACGTTCATTTTTATGCTAAGAAATCTGTTACTGAAGCCAAGTAAAACGTTAGAGAGAGGCATGAGAAGAAACTAAGCCTTTCCATTTACCTTTGAAAGGGCACGGACTGGAAGCAAAAATGTTATGTGGCAGATAATATAGTATCAAGTCTGCTCCATTGTCATCGTGAGCAGAAGCTCAGTTAAAGTAGGCAGTCCTGTACGCGCTTTTATCTTCTGCCCGTTTCCCCTTCAAATTATAACACTGGGAAAAAGACCTGAAGTATGGGATCATTAGTCACTGGCATAGGTGTGGGTTTGAGTTAGTTATTGGTTTTATTGACATTAAAGCAGACTGGATTTTATTCAAATACTACAGCAAAGTGGACAATGATCTTATGTGTTTAAGAAAAGAATTAATTTATGCCAATACTAGTACTTCAATTGAGATTCTTTTCAGGGAAATTGTTATCTGTATATTCACTTCTTTTGTTATTTGCTTTTTTGATGGATCAGGGTAATACACATGGCAATTTTGTTTTCCAGCTGTTTTGCAGAGGAGGGGGCAGTTGGAGTGTTTTGGTAGTGATTGTACAGTTTCAGTATAACAAATTAATTAAAAAAACAATGACCTGCTTTCTGTTTATAATATATTTTGTACTGTTGTGTTATCTGTATGCAAATGTCAGCAATTCTGGTTTTATCATCTGAATAGTATGCCTTCTTACAAACCTTTTCTCTTGTCCCTTCCATCTGCCCCTGGGTTTTTTTGTTTGGGTTGGGGGGGGGGGGGGTTGTCACTTTGTTGTATGCTTTTTTTGTTGGGGGCTGTTAATATAATTTAGAAATTTGATCAGATTGTTAGTCTTGGAATTAGTGGAAAAAAAAGAAGCATTAGCCTCAAGAACAGCATGTATCCCCACTAACTGTAGTCAGGTGTTAAGCAAAGAAGACGCACATCTGAGTCTCTAACAGCCAGTTCTATCACCACTCTCCAGTTCCCAGTCTGGGCTGCAAGCTTTTTCCACTACCTTTCTGTTATCTTAGGTGCTTATCTCACTCAGTGAGTCAATTCAGCTTTCGAATCTGGAAAAACAAAACAAAATCCTAGCTAAAAGGAATAGGATACTGCAGGGTTACTGAGATAAATTGGGTTACAGAGGTGGCAGTAAACTGTTACATCTTCTCAGTTGTCCTGTCCTGAGGAGAGAATGAAAAAGAATCATTCACCCTCAGTAAATGCTGAGTACCCTCCTTGGAATCAGTAGATGATGTTGGTTTTGGTGATCTTTTTTTAAACTCTTTCAAATAAAAAGTTTAAAAGCTACTTTTCACAAGCCGGCGTGTAAGTACAGCTGGTTTCAGGAGCACTTGTCTACCTAGCCTCTACACCAGGATGCAATGCTTACCAAAACATTTTCATTCCTAATGCCAACTTTGATCTTCTGCCACTCAGCCTCCACTGGAAACTCTCCTGATGTAACTTTTTCACTCACTGTTGTTCAAGTGCATAACATGGGGAGTTAAGGGCTGTAGATTTCTCATGTTATGACTACGCATATGAGGGAGTCTAAGGAAATAGTCATACCTTTCTAACCTCATAAATTACTTCCTTCAAGAGCTGCCAGTAAAAACCTATAACGTAATCTCAAAAATATAAAAACTTACAATGTGTAAAACAATAACTCTAAATAATATAGTACTAAAGTTGATGTTAAGCAACTGAAGCTAATCAAATGTCAGTAAAACTGAAGTATAAATGCATGAAGAAAATATAATGGCACAAGTTTCATAACTTACTGTTGTAGGAAATTTTCCATGGCATTTGTTTTGCTTTAGACAGCAGAGCTGTAAAAATAATGCCGTTTAGACTGTGATCCTTTAAACATTTGCAAGAAGATAGACACCTTTGTGGACATTGCATCATATATCTTTTTCCCGTCATCATTATTTACAGGTCTTGTCTGTAATATTCAACTTAATGTAAGTGAAGGAGTCATCATGATAGTTTTCTGACATTTAAAACAGATATTATCAATCAGGTTTTTTTTTTTTTTTTTAATGTTACTGGGGGGGAAGTAACGAGTGTGCCAAATAAGACAAATATCAGGCAATGCAACTGGGCTTAAGGTGAGGTTGAAGAGGAAGATGGCTGAGAAATAAGCCTGGGAGTCATTTAATATTTCTTTTTATCCGGAACAGAATGAGGAGGGTAACAATATTTCATAGGATGGGTCTGAGGATAAATTACAGGGTGTCAAACACAGTATTAATAGGCATGTAAATAGAATGAAGAATATTACTATAAATTGTCTTAGAATCAGAAAAGAAACAAAAATAATCTGAGGCTGGAGACAGTAACGGCATTAGTGTCACAATGAACATTTAATTTAACTTTGTTGTGTAAGTCTGTAATATGTATTTCTTTATCTGTTTTTAACCTGATCACAACACAAACATGTATTCCTTGAAACATTACAGGATCAAACATCATCAAGAAATATGTCAAGCATTTTAAATTTTCAATTTAAAACGATGGTTTCAAATTGAAGTATCCCACCATTGCCAGTGCATCTCCAGAACTTTGTCTGGTTTATGGCTATTTATGTCTTTGTGCAATGGTATACCTATCACCTATTATTTTCAAGTTGTAAAGTATGGGAAAAACAGAGACACTAGTGGATGCTGCCAATCCAATGAATATAAAATATACTTATTTAAAATATATGTCTTTCGGGCTCCATTTCAGTACTGCGATTTACTTACTATGACAAAGCTCTTTTATGTTCTAATTCTGCCTGAGTGCATTTGCATTGTGTCAATACCTGGATGAGAAACTGGAGAAGAAAATTAGTGGAATCCACCCATAGATGATCCCATGTCACAACACATTGGTCTTTTAGCATGTTTTCTTCTCTTTCCAAATGCTGTATAAACTCAACCACTGAGGTTCTGAATTTTCAGGATCATTTGTGAACTCATGCATTTTCTGCAAGTTAAAGTATAGCCTAAAGTGTAGGCCAATTATTCATTCTGATATTTAGCTCGCTTTTGTTCTTTAGTTCCCATCTATGATGTTTCAGTATAATGATTGTTTAGAAACTTTATAACCCTGTAAAAAGATGGATGCTTTACTGCAATACATAGTGAATTGTTTACTTCGTTCCCATGGGTGTTGTGAAGCTTATTTCCAGAGCAGAACAAAACAGAAGAGAAAACAGAACAGCAGTAGAATAGAACTAGAACTAGAACCAAAAGCAGAACCAGGACAGAACAGAATAGAATAGAATAGACTGGACTGGACTGGAATGGAATGGAATATTTCTGTTGGAAAGGACCTACAGCAATCTTCTAGTCCAACTGCCTGACCTTTTCCAGGCTGACCAGAAGCTGAACATGGTGTAAAGGGCATTGTCCAAATGCCTCTTAACACTGGCATGCTTGGGCCTTGAACACCTTGCTAGGAAGGCTGTTCCAGTGTTTGATCACCCTCTTGGCAGCAAATGCTTCCTAATATCCAATCTAAACCTCCCCTAGCTCAGCTTTGTACCATTCCTGTGTGTCCTATCACTGGATTCCAAGGAGAAGAGCTCAGCACCTCTCCACTTCACCTTCTCAGAAAGCTGCTGAGAGCAATAAGGTTGCCACTCAGCCTCCTTTTCTCCAAATTGACGAGCCCAAAGTCCTCAGCCACTCCTCACAGGACATGCGTTCCAGCCCTCTCACCAGTTGTTATTCATGTCTGGACACAGTCAAGAATCTTCACCTCCTTCTGAAATTGTGGAGCCCAGAACTGCACACGGTGCTCAAGATGAGCTTGCACCAATGTTGAATACAGAGGGATAATCACTTCTTCTGACCAGCTGGTTGTGCTATGTTTGATGCACCCCAGGTTGTGGTTTGCCCATTTGGCTGCCAGGGCACACTGCTGACTCCTGTTGAGCCTTCTGCTGACTAGCACTCCCACATCTCTTTCTGTAGGGCTGCTCTCCAGCCACTCTTCTCCCAGTTTATACTTATGCCTGGTGTTATTCCATCCTGAATGCAGGATCCAGCATTTGGACTTGTTAAATTTCATCCCATTAATCATTGCCTGATGCTCCAATCTATCTAGATCTTTTTGCAAGGCCTTCTGTCCCTCAAGAGAGTCAACAGCACCTCCCAGTTTGGTATCATCAGCAAACTTGTTAATGGTGCTTACAGCTCCTGAATCCAGATCATTGATAAATATACTGAACAGAAATGACCCTAGAATTGAACCCTGGAGAACACTGCTGGTGAGCAGTTGCCAGCCAGATACAGCCCCATTCACTTCAGTCCTCTGAGTTCTGCCTTTCAGCCAGTTCTTCACGCATTCCACAACAGGACAACTTGTCCATAACGATCCTGTGTGGGACAGTATCTTTAAAAGTTACAAGTTAAAACTGAAAAAGCCTTGCTGCATTTTGGGCAGGAGAAGACTTCTAGAGCATTAAAGCTCACCCTTCTTTGTGGTGGAAAACAATAATAGAAAATTGGGAGTGTTCCACTGAAGTATGTGTCAAATCACAACCATCTGTAAATATTGCCAAGATTAAAAACAAGCCCAAGAATGCTGAATTCCTGGGTTGGGGTTTTGTTTCTTTTTTG